AAATTGGAGAGACTCCTAACCTGCACATTTATGTGCCTAAACAGACAGCATATCGGCAAGGGTGAGAGAAATATCTGTAGGGTGTGAAGTCATCTGATATTCGCGCGGAAATAACGGTATAGATAAAGCTGGTAGTTAGGCAGATCTCGCACGGCGCCTTAGGCTTCGTTCACATGCAATGTCTATTTTCTAAATTCTATTTTCTATTCGCGCTATCTTATGATCACGGTCTGTGCCCTGAATATCCCGCCGCGTAATTACTGGCAGCGCGAGCCAGTTACTTATAGTAACTTATAGTAACTGGCTCGCGCTGCCAGTAATTACGCCGCGGGATATTCAGGGCACAGACTGTGATCATGAGACATACCGCAAATAGAAAATAGAATTTAGAAAATAGACATTGCATGTGAACGAAGCCTTATTCACGTTTAAAAACTTATCACCACACTGATCAAAATTCAACATATTGTTATTGCAATTTCTTAATGTTATCTTGCCACTCTTTGCAGCATGAAATTGTTTGCTGTGGCCTCGGTCCTCATCATCGTGGGAATGGTGAATGCTGGCCGCAACGACCGCCGTGACACCTGTTCCAACAGCGACACCCCCTGCTATGACTATGCCCTCACCTACATTATGGACGGAAGAACCGAGAATTTCTTTGGCGGAAACCGCACCGAGATACTTGCCCATAACTGGTTGGTTGGTCGAACTGAAGCTGACGTCATACAGGAGGGGAAAATGGCGACCCAATGGTTATTGGTATGGAAGGACTCCTTTTTTATTTTACTTTATTGATTTATTTAGTTAGTTAATTTCTTATTGTAGAACTTGGTGCCGTCATCGAACGGACATCAAGTTACAGGGATTTGAATGACCTTAGTTGCAGAAGCACCTTGTTGTAATGTGGTCGAATGATGATGGAAGTTTGTCTGATTTCCGTTCCAAGCTGGCCCTCGTCTTAACACACCTTTATTGACAGTGATCAGTGATTGTATTATTTTTAAAATAGGCTTCCATAGTTTGAGGCTCTATCTGTATTTAAACAAATGAGGTGGAAACAATAAACGTAGTTATAAGCATGTCACCCACACCTTCTGAAGCGGCGCCATCACTGAACTCATTTTAAAGATATTATTTTTGGCATGCTACAATTCTGATCCTACAATTTATGATATACTGCTACAATTTAAATAGACATTTCTGGTTCTATCATATGAGCAAGACTGTCAAGAGATGGGTAAATATTTCGTTCTAGTCCTGCACTGATATTTTTGCTGAATGCAATCAGATAAACAGACAGTGAAGGGAACCCTTCGTGATAGCGGAGTGTGTGTAAACAGTTTCCAGAGAAACATTGACTATTTTGCTTTATTTTCAAGCAAGTTCATTGCCAACATGAAAAAAAAACACGGTCGCATAACAATTTCTTGTTGCTTTTCTTTCAGACGAAATACGGTATCAACTTCACCGACGTGGAGGATGAAGTGTATTTAGACGCCTCCAACGCTGTGACAAGCGATGACGGCAATTTAACCTTCACCGCGTTCATGGTCGACCCTGCTGCTAGGTATCGGCTAGTCTCGGCCAGCAAGGAACACAAGGTGGAATTCTTTAACGCTCCGATTTCTGATGCAGGTACGCCATTTTTTTTTTTTATTCATCATGCATATCACGTGATATTTTAAACGTTTTTGTATGTTAGTGACATACATTTCACAAACACTTGAAAACATTAAAGGGATAATAACTCTTCGTTTGAGGTCTATATTTCACAATAAAAACAGTGTGAATAACTCATAGAAATTTAACATATTCTGTTTTATGACAAAAACAGCAGTTATAGCTATTATTCTGATATCTGAGCTTGTCTTCAGACCACGTGACCTCCATTGATGGCTATACTAAAAACAAACTTTTCAGAAAAAAACCAGGGACTAACTTTGAATGTAAAAATGGATTCATTAACTATTGGTTAGCATGGGAAAATTGTTGTTTACTCTGGGAAAATTCTTTTTTTGGCCAAAATGAAGAGTTATTATCCCTTTAAGAAACGCAAACATACAAATGCATACATAGAATACTATACACAAACGCGCACATGATGCATAGATACACACGACCCCCATAATACACACACATATGCAAAAACACGTGTGTACTGGACAAAACAAGTGTAATAAAAATAACGTTTCCTTACCCACCTGTTACCGCATTCTAAGTAGGCCCTAGTTATTGAAATTACCACTGTATCAATATACATTTATTTATTTTACAATTGAAAAGTCTGTTTTGGATAGATCTTAAAGTCTGCATTTTGAAAATGTCACGAACACGTACATCCAACTTCCAGGCTGGGCCGTCATAGTGAACGAAGACTACTCTGCCAGCGGAACCTTTGACAGTACGCTACCTCAGGGGGCAATGATCGTCTACGGTGATTACATCATTCCCCTTTGTGATCAGACAGAAACAAGGAGAAAGAAACCAAAAGGCAAAGGGCGCAACTGTCGAAATCTCTTCAACCAGTCCACACTCAAGATCCATTACGAAAGTTCGGCGTACATGTTTACCGTTGATGGCGTCATCGTTATCGACTGTATCGTCAAGGAGACGTCATGGGGGGTCGGCATAGCACGTGGAGCGTCATTTATGGAACCTGACAACCTGTACAGCACAAGGAATGTGTTAACATTTCCAGCTACAGCGCCATAGTACAGCTGTCTTCGTGCGCTAGCCTAACAACACCCGACACTTTGATATATAGGAACTTAAAGTGACATGAATACCAAAGCTGATGAATGCTGGGTATTTAAACAAAATCAATGCTAGACCACCTTATATTTTCTGAGTTGCGTTCTCCTAATGGTGACATGCAAGCCTATGACGGCAAATGTTGATTCTGTATTTACAGTGTTGGGGGGGGGGGGGGGGACGGCACATATCAGAACTAGACAACCCTGTATACGTGTCCTTTGTGTTAAACTTGTTTGTGTAATCCATCTTCATTTTTGACTTTGCTATTTTACTTTCAACTTTGCTATTTTATATTTATGACAAACACTTAATTAGTGTTATTTTAGTGCTACTGAATACGTGCCCATGATTAAATAAAGCAACTTATTTTTCATATTAAGCTTTCCTGATATCAAATTTGGTCATCACTCCAAAGGGGGGGGTGTCATAAAATGCGTTTCTGCGACCACTGATAAATGTGTCAGTGTCGGTAAAACGTTCGCCAGTCAAGTACAAACAAACAACAGTTCTGGGTTACCATATCAGCTTTATTCCCGCTGTCAAATTCCCTGTATACTCCTGCTAAACCTAAAATGATTTTCTAGCGGAATAATCTGACAGGTCGCCTTCCACAAATTTTCAGTCTATTAATTACGCAAGGTATGGTTGTCTAAATAAATCTCATACTAGTCCCATTAATGGATTTTTTTGTGGAAATCATTCTAGAAAACCCAAAACGAGACTGTGGTCACTGCCTGAAGAGACTCACAAAGGCGAGAATCCGTGTGAAGTGAGGTTTTGCTTTAGGCGGTAATGGTGAAGAATTAACTTATCTTAGAAAACAAAACATAATTAGCACGCTATACATTACATCGGTACAACTTTACATTGCAAAAAATAAATAAATAAATAAATAAATAAATAATAAAATAAAATAAAATAAAATAAAATAACAAACTTTTATCATAAAAAAAACTTAATTTTGGAATTTTGAGCTAATGTCACAAAACTGTAAACTATGTTTGTCGATTTCTATTGAAAGAGCCTTGTTGATTATCTATAACACGGCAGTGTTACAAATTTTAGTAAGAATTTAGTTTAAGTTTTAAAACAGTTAAAATTCAATAGTTACAATAAGATCTCGGAAACAATAAAAGTCTCATTAGACGTTTAAGCACTGACCAACCATAATAACCTTCCGATCTCAAGTAAACAATAGGCGACAGTGCACCTTGATTAATACTGGACTGTAGAGGTCAGCAAACGCGTCATAGTAATTACAGAGAAAACGGACCAAGCTACTATAATGTCACGTTGTCAAAAATAGAAAGATATAATTAAATGACTTAAGGTATAATGCATGAATGTTTAAGAGACACTTCGATGAATCCAGGAAAATGACCAGTTCCGGTTCAGTCAAAATTAAATATTAATAATCAAAGAACCGGGCAAATCACAATATTTAAGTCGAAGGTCGAGAATCAGTATTTCTAATAATTAAGTAAATGTTGAATCAAAATTCCCATCCATGACGTGAGATGTGAACCACCTGTCGCCCTAATTTTAAAAATGCAGCATTTTGCCGCATTCGGGGTGTTCTGCGAGTCGGGAAAGTAGTGGCATAGGAAGGAGTAACTGAGGGAGAGACACCGTGGTCACATCTTCAACTTGATGTAGTCCGTGTGAGAAAAATAAAATTCCTTTCACAGGAAAAAGGGAGTTGTTCATAACTTTACAGTGACGCGCTTTTATCACACGTAGAAGCCCCCGTCACATATCTTCATTAGTTTCCCAAATAATGTCCTGTAAACAACCGTTTATACCGATGAAGTCACGTTTTATTTATCAAGAATACGTATGTGAATATGTGTATAGAAAATAAAACTCCTTAATTTTCTACAAAGTGTGAAATACAAGCATCCAGTCATTTTCATGCTCGGCAACTGATGCATAATTCTTAAATTATTTAATTGACGTTCCATCTTCAACCAAATGTCTCTAAATAGTTGACGATATTTTGGAAGACCGAAGAACTATGGCCATTCATCTGCAGTCATCTACACTGTTGAGATTTTAGTAAAAAATGACAACATCTCCCATCTGTTTGTGCAACATTTAGGTGCAATATTACACAATGTGGAAAAACAACCATCTGGTTCGGGGCAAGGCCTTGGAAGATGTTCGCGCCCCTATTATGATCATATGTTACGCCTGCTCGGTCTATATAAATGTGTCGTCAGATGCAATATTGTCTAAGTAATCGACGCATCACCTTCACGAAATGGAAAGCGTTGTAAGGTAAGCACCGCTACAGAGCAACTAGAAATTGAACAACAAAAGCGAGTTATATTTCTTCGCCTTGTGAAGTCTCATAAACTGTACTTGAGAATATATTTGATTCATATGTAACAGATGGCTTTAAACTAAATCTTGCTTAGAGAAATGCGATGCAATGTGAAGAAAGCATAAGAAAAAAAAATCATATAAAAGCGATTCATAATCGCCGAAATAGGTGATAGTCGAAGACATGATACCAATACATATAGATACACATATACAGCAACGCGAGGCGTCCAATTCTGTCTTTCTCTATGTTACTTTAGCAATAGCTGTTTCTACGGAATAATGTGTAACAATGCCTCTTCCTTTTGATAATTTATGATGCTAAGAGATGTGTCTGCCATTGAACACAAGTTGTTAGACTAACCGTGTCACACTCGTTATTAATTGTCGTTTGTTTATTATAGCCTTGTATTGTGCTTGTCAAACTGGTGTTGGACGCTAAAAACGATTTTGCTGTGTACTTCAAACCTGCTCACATTTTTTGTTCAGCTTGAACAATATCGTGTGCGACGTCCTTTAAATGATGGATAGGTAGTACGTGATTCACAGCAGAGGATTACAGCTCCGCAGGTCAAATATGCCTGACCCACTTAAATGTTTGTTGCATAGACCCCGCGGGGAATTTATTAGAGGTTAAGGCGACAAGCTTTTAAGTGGGTCGCCATATTTGATCCACAGATCTGTCACTCCGCTGTCGTGAATGAACCTATGTTCAAGATATTGAAGGAACCATCTCACTGTTCCGATACAAACATGGCACCGTCATTTTAACGTATTATCTTTCACTCTTTGCACATCAGAGTGTTCTTTGTGGCCTCCTTCCTCGGCATCGTGGCAATGGTGAATGCTGGACGTGGACCAATACATAACGACCGCCGTGACACCTGCTCCAACAGCGCCACCCCCTGCTATGACTATGTGCTCACCTACATTATTGACGGAAGAACAGAAAATTTATTTCGCCAAAGCCGCAGCGAGATTCTGGCTATCCATCGCTTGGCTGGAAAGTCTGAAGCAGACGCCATTCAGGAGGGGAAAATGGTGACCGCATGGTTGAAGGTATGGAGTGCTTTCGTTTTTGTTCCGACTGATTTTCTTTAAAGCAGTCCGTTTTTATTTTATCACAACTTAATTGAAATTACTACAATTTTCAGTAGACTGTTGTAAACAAGACCGACTGACATATGTTTAAATGTTATCAAAATCTCTGGCATCATAGTTAAAAAAATTAAACCTTTGTTCATAACGACACCAATTTCGGCAACTCTACTTGCAGTTTTATACCGATCAGATTTCCATTTAGTTTCAAATAAGAATTATTGGTCAATGTTTTAAAACGCTTTTAGATACCTCAAAGGTTTAAATGGCACCGTAGTACAATCGCAGTCCCATCTCTTTTCAGTATATCGATTAGCAAATACATGTATATATAGCCACTTAGGATATTCCAGTTGCAATCCACTAATTATAAAATTAATAATAAACGAAAGAAAACTAGGTCACAAAACGATATATTGCAGGGTTGTGGACTTAAAAAGCTAACATCGTTGTTATATCAGCTAGGGTCATTGCCAATGTCAACTTTCAAAGTTATTTAACACGCTTACTTATCAGCGCCTATTTTGTCTCAACGTCGTTACATTTTTTCCGACAAAATACGGTATTGACTTTACTGATGTAGAGGACAACGTGTACATAGATGGCACCAAGGCTGTTACAAGCCCTGACGGCTTCTTAACTTTCAGAACATTCATTGCGGACCCTGCTGCCAGAGCCCGGCTAGTGTCGGCCAGCAAACAACATGAGGTGGAATTCTTTAACGCTCCGATATCGAATGTAGGTAAGTGAACACAATGGAGCCCGTTATGACCACGAACATGAATAACAGATGATAAACTTTTTTTTGTGTTGATCGTAAATCACACATATACTACACATACAAACAAATGTGCATCCAACAGTGTACAGGCAGACAGACAGGCAGGCAGAAGCACACAAGTTTGCTCCACACACATATCTAAATTGTACATTTAGCATTGTGGACAGCTTATTGGTACTCTGCACGCGTTTGAAAACTACCTCTGTACATAGAAATAGTGAAAATGGAATGCCAAATCCCGCGAGATTTGTATTGCCCTCAAACGTCAGTGATAGCATGTGTATTAATCTTTCAGGCTGGATAGTCATGGTGAACAACGACTATCAAGGCAGTGGTACCTTCAACATGGTTTTACCAAAGGGAAGCACTATTTTCTACGGTGATTACATCATTCCCCTTTGTGATAGCACTGGAAAGAAGAGCAAAACCCGACTGAGTAAAAACAACTTCTACTACGGCAGTCCTCCATGCCGCAATATCTTCAACCAGTCAACACTGAAGATTCACTACGAAAGTAATACATACTTTTCAAGTGTTGGCGTTATTGATTGTGTCGTCAAGGAAACGTCGTGGGGGACTGGCGTGGCACGAGGGGTGTTGTTTATAGAAGCTGACAATAAAGTCTCTGGTCGCAATGTGTTAACTTTTCCTGCGTCACAGCCATAAATAAGGAAGTTCCACATCTTCCGGCCTAGAACTTGATTTAATAAATATTGAAAATGTAATAATTAGAATACTGAAATGGAAATAATTTGCAATAGCCTTAAGGGTATTGTAACCCTTTATTTTACCCAGATACCGCGAATGAGGTTTTTCCAGTATTTTGTTATTCAAAAGTGCATCTATCTTTCTGTTGCTTTGAAACAATAAAAAAACTCTCGAAAATGTAAAATATCGGCGTTTATATTTCTCTTTGCAATGTATAAGTATAGTTAACTTAAAGCCTTTCTCGCCAATTTATCACCTTTATATTTTTAGGAGAGATACCAATCGGTAATGGGTGTAATTTTATCCTTGAACAAGATTTTATCACGAAAATTGACAGATTTGACCACGAGTTTTGTACGCTGATCATATATATATATCAAAGAGAAAGGGAAAGACTCGTTACACAAGTACACTCTTTAGTAAACACATTTAAAAGTACACCATATGCATAGCTGCAAGTACAAACACACACGGAAACATACGCACACACACACACACACACATACACACTTAATTTATGAGGAAAAATAGAAAAAAAAACAGAAGTCACCGGGTATACTTTATTTAGAGGTTCTTTGAACGTTTGTCTTATCAGAAGAGCATAGCAGGACTAGTGAATACACTTAAGCCCGTACTATTAAAAAAAATGACCATCAAAACATGTCGCAAAAAATGATAAAAGGTGAAAATTAATTCGTTTTTTCAGAATAAGCTTATCTGACAGTTCAATAACGTGTTCTTGAGGGCATCAGCCCCCAGAAGTGTGTTTGACACTTCCATGGGTCCCATAGTCGAAAACTCCTATGTTATTCCCTGTAATTTTTTTTAATTGAATTTTTTGGGGGCCTTTAAAGACCAATTTTTTTTCTTGCCAGTGGCTACATCTGGAACATTGATCAATTTTCAAAATTCAAGATGGCCGTCAATAATATAAAATATATTATAATATTATCATATGTTAAATAAATAATCATGTAAAATAGCAGAGAGTCGGGTTCATGGTATTGTAAGGTTCGATTTTAGGTTCACAGATCGAGAAGAAGTGAGCAACAAGAGTCGTGGATTTCCAAACAGCTTTATTCCCACTACCTAACTTGTTCTCTCTACCCACCACCTGTTCTATTTATATGTACCCTAATGTCTCATTATAATAATGCCTTATAATATATCTTACTAGGCGCGGGCGCCGCGACATCCTATAGTCTAGGCACGGGCGCCAAGATATAACATAGCAGGCTTCTACTATGGGGCTCGTGGGGGAGGGGGGGGGGCAAATGGGTCCCGGGAGATGGCACCGTCTGCCACCATCTGATAAATGTCAAATGAGCAGTTTCTGAGAGCTTAGGATCATGGCTAACAAAATATCATAATGAACATAAATATTAAAGGGGGTATGCTTTTAATATAACTAAATATGCAATAAATAAATAAATAAATAAATAAATAAATAAATAAATAAATAAATAAATAAAACGAACTAATTATGCAGCTTTTATCATTCTGCGACATGTTTGATGGTCATTTTTTATTTTATGTTTAATTTAATTTAATTTAATTTAATTTAATTTAATTTAATTTATTTATTTATTTATTTATTTATAATAATAATAATAATAATAATAATAATAATAATAATAATAATAATAATTATTATTATTATTATTATTATTATTATTATTATTATTATTATTATTTATTTATTTATTTTTTTGCTACGTGGTACGCGGTTAACTGTATTCATTGGTCCTCCTGTGCTCTTCTGATAGGTTAAACGTTCAAAGAACCTCTAAAGTATTCCCTGCGACATCTAGTCTTTTTTTTTCTAATTTTCCTCATAAATTGAGGTCCATATTGAAAACTGCTCAATGTCTCGGAAGTAGCAACCAAGCTAATTTCGCTTCTCTCGACCTGAAGAATGCATTTCAGCAAAAAGAAGTTCACAGGAAAGAACATTGCAGGGTTAGTGTTCTGCCTTCTTGACTACGCGGCCAGGGCGACCTCGTATCACAAGAAAAAAAGTTTTTTTTCTAGATTCCGGTATTGCCAGCTCGATCTTGATTCATATATATAACCCATATCAGCAATACCGGCTCTAGCGAACAGCGGCCATGTTACACTTCCGTCAATCAAATAGAACTGCTCCGCAGTGAATCTGCAGTTTAATGTCATCAGACCCAAATGAAACGTAAAACAGATTTAATTCTGCTTTATTTAATTTTATTTGTTGTATTTAAGATGTAAAGTGAAAAAATAAATAATATTCTTCGAATAGAAAAGATATATCCAATGTTTTTGTATTTTTTGCTTATCAAAGAACATTTAGTCCTGAGATATACACGTGCAGCTACACTGTATGCCCGATACCACTATAAGGGCTGCATTAATGGCTACACCAAAATCAGTTTTTGAAGTAGAATGTTGCTTGTATTGTGGCACTGACCTTCGACTGCAAGATATTTTCAATTCAAACTTCTAACTCCGCGTCAGGCACTTTAATTGCTTCTTGTCTCGTCTGCACGAGATAACTTCAGCGCAAGGCGGTAAAGGCAGCTCCAGGCGGCCAAACCTGTGACATACGAGACTTATGACTTCCAAACATGAATCCAGGCGGACACAGCTGTGACGTGTGACTACCAAATATGGAAGCGCCCCAGGCAAAATTTTGAAGAAGAACGCCCTCAGATTGTCGCTGTTCGTCAGAGCTAGTAAAAGCGACTCCATCACAAGGTATATTTAACAAGCTAGCTTTTACGTTGCTCTGACACTCAGGGTACATAGTACAGATGTCATCCGCACCTGGCACTTTGATATAGATACTGAAAGTGACACGAATACCTAAACTGACGATGTATTTTAACAAAATCAATAGTGGACCATGTTATATTTCATGAGTCTCAGGTCGCATTCAGAACAGTGGTTTAACTTGTCCAAGCGTCAAATATGGCCGACCCACTTGAATACTTCCCCACGGAAAATCTAGCTGGGACTAACTTTGAATGTAAAATGGATTCATTATCCGTTGGTAAGTATGGGAAAATTGTTGTTTACTCCAAGAAAATTCGTTTTTTGGCCAATGATATTTTGGAAGACGGAATAACTATGGCCATTCATCTGCACTCATCTACACTGTTAAGGTTTTGGTAAAAAATGACAACATCTCCCATCTGGCTATGTAACATATTACAATATGACATCATATCGACATCAACCATCTGGTTCAGAACAGGGCCTTAGAAGCAGTGTCCGCCCTTGTAAGGATCAATATGTTACGCATGTTCGGTCTAAATGTCTCGCTTGATGCATTGTTGTCTAAGTTATCAACGGATAATCATCTCGACATGGACAGCGTTGTAAGGTAAGCACCGCTACAGAGCAACTATAGGAATTAAACCAGAAAAAACGGGTAATATGTATTCGCGTTGTGAAGTCTCATAAAGCTACTTTTATTCTTAAAATAATATCTTTGATTCATAGGTAATGGAGGGGATGTTTAGAGACATGCGATGGAACGAGGAGAAAGCAAAAGAAAAAAAGAGAAATTATTTAAAAGCGATTAATAGTTGATAGTCGAGGACATGATACCAAAAAGGCCAGAGAGTCGATCATACATTGAGCAGACTATTTCTGAAAACTATATATCGTTTTTTTTTTCTTTATAAATGTAGTTATACTTATATAGCAGTTCTGTATTCCTCTGACGTACTTTTGAGGCACTTTTGCAATAGTTGTTCCTATGGCATTATATGTTACGTATGACACTGAGAGATGTGTCTGCCATTGACAACAAGCTGTTAGACTGACCGTGTCACACTCGTTATATATATCTTTGCCGTTTTCTGTTATACCCTTGTTAATGTTTTTGTTGCCCTGGTGATTTGACGCGAAATACGATTTTGCCGTGTACTTCAAACCTGCTCACATTTTGTAATCTTAGTTTGAAAAATCAGGTGCTGGCTTTTAAATGATTGATGGGTAGTACGCAATAGGTAGTACGCGGAAGTCCGCTAGGAACCGTAGTCCGCTCGTCATAACTTTTTCCAGGTGACATTCATCCCATATACCTCCCCTAACTAACCCTAACCTGTACTAATAATATGGGAGCCCGGACTTCCATTCCCCTTACAACGGCCTCACTTGCCGCGTGTTATTCGCGGTTACGTATTGGGGGTTGTTGCGGCAAACTTTTTAGCGGGTGGCCATATTTGATCCTCGGATCTTTTTTCCTCGCCGTTGGGCATGCAGCTATATTCAAAGTATTAGGGAACTACCTCACTTTTCCAATACTAACATGGCACTGTCATTTCAAAATATTACCTTGTGAATCTTTGCAGTATAAAAGTGTTCATTGTGGCCTCGTTCCTCGTCATCGTGGCAACGGCGAATGCTGGCAGTGGACCAGGGCACAACGACCGCCGTGACACCTGCTCCAACAGTGCCACCCCCTGCTATGACTATGTTCTCACCTCCATTATGGACGGAAGAACAGAAAATAGATTTCGCCAAAACCGCAGCGAGATTCTTGCTCATCATCAACTGGTAGGGAGAACTGAATCTGACGCCATTCAGGAGGGGAAAATGGCCACCGAATGGCTGAAGGTATCGGGTTCTTTTGCTTTTGTATCTTAAAAGCAGTCCGTTTATACTTTATCACAACTTAATTGAATTTTATTCAATTTTCAATAGACTGTTGTCAACTAGACCGACTAATATAGGTTCAAATGTTATCAAAATCTCTGGCATCATAGTTTAAAAAATTAAACCTTTGTTAATAACGCATCAAATTCGATAACTCTACCTGTAGTTTTATACCGAACTGATTCTATCTACAATCAAGTAAGAATTATTAGTCAATGTTTCAAAAAGCTTTTAGATATTTCGACAGGTTAAAATGGCTCCATAGTACAATCGCAGCCTGTTATATATATGTTGATTAGCAAATACATATACATAGTCACTTAGGATATTCCAGATACAATCCACTGATTGTAAGATTTATAACAAACAAAAGAAAACTAGGTCACGAAACGATATATTTCAGGGTATAGAACCTTGAAAAGCTGACATCGTTATTTTATGAGGGTCATTGTCAATGTCAATCTTCACAGTTATTTAACACGCTTAGATGTCA